CCCCAAAACCCCAAAACCCCTCACTGCCAAATTAATTTTATCAATTCAAACAGGAAATTGAGTTTAAATATAATACGAGTAAAATATAATAAAACCTTACGTAAATCAATACTTCATTGAACAAGAAAAACTCAATTTAATTACTTTTTCCCTAATTGAGGGTCATTCAGACTTTCTTTGGTAGAATTGAAATCTAATCATTATGTTTATTTTTCTCCTCAGTATTCTCATCTTTCACTAGTATACTCGCCATTAGCATTCAATCGCTCTCATTGACTATGACATTAGGCTGAATATGTTCATTCTCAGTGTAGATATCCATTGTACTTTTGTCGTTCGAAGTGTTATTCTGATTTTTGCCCTTCTTTGTAGCACTTCGCGTATTATGAAAAACAACCTTTTCCACTGGTGGCTAAGATAGCATCTGCAAGCTAGATTCGACTTGATTCTAATGAGGTTGATGACTATGATCATTTAGATAATTGCTAATGTCAACTCTGTGTTGTGAAATACTGTCTAATGAGGAGCTGATATTGCTTGAGTCATCATTGTTAATAACTATGTTCTCTTGAGAAACTATAATACTACTATCTCCACCTCCCCCTGCTCTAAACAGATGACTCTGTATCATTGTGTCTTTTAGCACTGACTGGTTCGTTTTTATATACTTATCTTAATTAAAATTTCTGCAAGACTTTTTGTCACTTTAAACATTTATCTCAGTCCTGAGGAATCGGCCTGTGCAAGGGTCTCTTTGTTGCTACTAAACAAGCAATCGTTTCCTCTCTCTAGTCTACTCATCCTACTTAAATGTCTTCCTCTTTCTTTTTAGAGATTTTCTTGATCTTCTTGAGATGCCACCTATCGTTAGGGTAGTGCTCCTCCTATCACCCAGTGTTTTCATGCCTCTTAGCATAATACCTTCGCTTTTGCTATCATCTAAGACTTCTAGTTATATTTCTTATTGGCTCAGTATTTCTGATAGACCTTTTTTAGCACTTAATCCTTGAGAGTGCTTGTTGCTAGAATTATTATGCTAAGAACTAAGATCTATAGTTAAAGCATTTGATTTCATGATAAGTTTTCTTTAGCGCTTCTTGGAGCGATTTCTCATACTTTATTCTCTATTTGCTGTAGATGTATCTATTTAGATTTCATTCATTGTAAAATCAACTAGATTATGCTTTATAGGCTCTTTGAAAACTGTTTACTTTTTAGCTTAAGGAGACATATGAGGATCAATCTTTATTTTGAGGGCAATCTCTTTATCTATTGTCTTTTTCCTAGTCCTTTTAGCTTTAGTTGGTTCTTTAATTGACATTTCATTATCTTCAGTTTCAAAGTGTTTTTTAGGCAGAGAAATTTGCTTTTATTAAAGTTAGCTTGTTTCCTACTGCTAAAAAGACAACTGATTTTGAATATCACTAAGAGGATTACCGATGGCACTCATCCACTAATCCTAGCCAAATTAGAAAGATTACTGGCCGATCTGATCATTATTTAGGATGTTGGATCTCTCCTAGCTGATATTTCCTTGCATCATTTGTCTACTAAAGTTTAATTACGATTAATGCAACTATTTCTATTAGTAAGGCTAGCAATTTGACCTCAGTAAACTTTCATTATTGTTACTTTGATAATCAGCAAATGAAGTACTTGATTGACTTTGAATATTTTAGTTTAAGGCATGCTGATTAGGTCTCTCTTTGATGTTATTATATTCTATAGTTTAGCTTAGCAATGGCTATTGAGATTCATGCAGAATTTGGTGAGTTTAGTTAAGTTACTAATATTGCTATATAATCTGATTTTATTGACTGCCAGAGGCATTTTGATGTATAATCATTTGCTGATGCATTTGTTTCTAGTGTTATATCTAATCATTTTGTGACATATTTAAGTCCTAATGATTTAAGGTTCTGCTCGCTAATACTGTAGTGCCAATGCCACTCTGTTTTAAATCTCTTGACTAGAAATCAATCAAAGCTGCCACTACTTTAACCTTTTGGTCGTAAAGCAATATATCTCCGACACTCTTTATTTAAATTATTCAGAAAATACGGAATCCCTTCTCAGATAATAGATTGAACAATCAGAAGGGATGATTTATAAATTAATCATCGTAGGACTTACATAGTCTTTGGTGATGCAGAATATGTCATTCAATAGCAGTTCTTGAACCTAGATCATCTGTTCTGGGTTCAAAGCATTAAATTCATTTTCTATTCGATCTTTAAGCTCGCCTATAAATTTAGATAGTTAAATGCAGTTACTTATATTTTTATCTGGAAACTCTGAGACGGCAATGTATTTCTTGATATTAGTATCTTTGATTTCAATGGTCACATATATTCTGAGTCGCTTGGCTTCTAACATTGAAGGATGCTTATTTTTGCCTGATAGGGCTTGGGACGTAAATTCCATGTGCGTGTATCCCGCGCAAAATAATAATTGGATTAAGATTCCAACTATAGACTCGACTATTTATCTCAATCTTTGTAAATTTTTGTAATATAATTGTATTATTTTTGTATTAATTTGCTCTTTACATTTCCACTTAAATTTAGTTACTTGGGGTTTTGGGGTTTTGGGG